AAGAGTGTAGGCTGCTATTACACCAGCCTTCCAGTTATCAAGAGCAAAGTACGTAACAACACTTACTTTATGACCCGGAGTTTATACAGCACAGTAGCTGGCCAGGCTGCCATCTGGCAGGGTGAATTCAAATCTGCTGCTTTCGTGATGCCATCAACTGTCCCAGACAGTAGAGCTGGGTCAAGCAATCTCTCCTGCAAATCGCACTTCAGGCACACTAGGAGAAGGAAATTGGTTTAGATTACTGGAAATGGCAAAGTTTAGCACAGGACATGCTCAAAGCACTTACAAACACTAAGTTAATGTTTTCTAGCAACAGCAACTATTAAGGGAAGAACAACGCTAAAGCCTGTGACACCAGGCAGCTAGCTATCCCCATTTTACACACAAGGGGAAATACCATGTTCTTGGCATGTTAATGAGACAATGACTGGGCAGGCCAGTTCCAGTTTTGGTGATGAGTAGTCAGCTGTAGTGGGAGCAGAAGGTTGTTTCCCAATGCCACGCTAGGTTCAGGGCCACACATTTCCTGCCGGCTTTTCTATCTGTGCTTGCAGAGGAACCCAGCACACTGATGACACTAACCCTGGCATAATATGATATATAGCTGCATACAATTTCTCTGGCCTGCTACAGACTTCTTGAGTGTGGGAAGGTGAAAAAAACTGACTGCAGCATAACTTGGTTTGTCTTGCTAGCTACAATAAGACAATGCATCAAGTATGAAATTCAATATTATGATGAAGGAAAATCTACCTTTAACAAAATATCATAATTGCCTGTGCTAGTCTGGAAGCTGTTGTGGTAGCTACTGCATAAATACAAAGTCACACCAGACTCTGATCTGCTTGCTATGGAGCGTATCTGTAAAAGCCACCAGCAACTCTATATGAGCTTTGCTTCCAGTCTGGAACTGGCCTGTGAATCACCAGAAGAAAACAAGCATAATTCTGCTGCAATGAGAAGCTGCACATGAGTACCATATTGGGTGGCATATAGTACCATATTGGAGAGGCATGGGAAGGGGATTGCTGGAACTGCATGTGCAGATTTCCATGGCAGTGCAACGGTGACAATACAGTTAACAACAACTTATGGGAAACACCTATGTCTGCTGTACTCACTGGTCTTTTCAGTGCTTACCCAAGGATGGGTTTAGGGATTTGGACTTAGACTAGTAAAGGAAAAAAATGACTTATTCCTTATAATTTTTCCCGTGCATTATTATAACTGTTGGCAGCTCCAGCTAGAGCAATAGCTATTTTAGTGCTAAATCAATAGATATAAATACAAGCCAAATCCCTTTGTAAAACAGCCTTTATTTAAGTGCAGCTCTGGCACAGACTTTTAGTATCAAACACAAGGAACACAATTTTTAGGGCTATGCAACTGAGCCCGAAGGTCCTTGGCTCTCAGTATGTAAGGCCCCTTTTACCTTGACGAAGTGGCTATAAATTCACCTATCTTCAAGGCACATTTTTGCTGCAGAATGGAAATGAATTATAGCATCAACAGCCACAGGACATGGCAGCAACCTAGAAGTATTCTGAGCAAATGGCCCCTCTCAGCCTGAGAAAACAGAAACTCCTGATGGCTTTCAAAGTCACCCAGAGACCTTACTTGGGTCTCTAAATATGAGGGAACATGCCCATAGGACAGGCTTGGGTAATCTTTAAGGCTATGGGATTTAGGAGTTCCTTGCAGAAGGGGAGAGAAAATAAAATACTTAGGGTGGTCTTGGGTGCAGTGGCATGGCTGAAGCCTCCTGATGGAAGAAGGAGATGGAGTTGTTCTCTCTCTGTGCCATAGTCATGTAGCCATGTTTTAAACAGCATCTCCAAGCTGATGACATTGTCCTCTATGGTTTGCACGTCGATGTCCATTCCCAGGATTGCAATGTCTGCAGAAAAAAAAAGGTGAAAAAGCATGAATATTTTCAGCCATAGAAAAGAACATTCTTTTGCGTTTTCCACTACGCTACACTACACTATCCTTAGTCCCTCAAATGCTTTCACATAAGAAGTGCATCAGAAGCCATTACCATGCAAATCACAGCACAGCACTATGATGCCAGCCCTCTTAAAAGGACATTGCTAGAAACTGAGCTGCTCCACAGGCCACACCAACACCCTTCTCATCAATGGGGTGGGTGGACTGGCTACAGCTGTCTTCAGAGCACTAGTTGTGACTGATGCAAACCATCTTCTGCTGTGGTCATCTTAGCACTGGCCTCAGAGGCTCTTCTCACAATTTTAAAGCATTTCCTCCTTTTTCCTAAGAAAGGGACACTGGATACGTGATGCTATAAGAAATCATGGAAAAGTACTACTCCTCATACAGACGATGAACATTACTTTGCAATATTGGCCCGTGGCTAAATTGCTGAACATCCTCAACATGTTGTTGAGGTCACAGACCTGAGAAGAACAGAAGGAAAACTTGTCCCAGACCTGACCAACACAGAGGACATATTTCAATATGTTGCTGTTGAAGTTCTGCTTGGTAACAGCAATCCCACAGTAGATGATCCTTGTAGATACAACAGTCAAAACTATCCACCACCATTACATTTCACTTCAAACAAGTGAAATGCATAAAATTTAGACACTTGTTAAAAAGAAATTAAAAGAAGAAATAAAAATGTTTGCAAGGACATAGCAAGTATTTAAGTTACCATTTTGGAGGTGCAGAGCAAATATATATAACCTAGCAACAACATTTAGGAAGGGACAAATGTAGGCTGAAAAACAGAGTTAGGGAGGTCAAAAACTTGATCAAACCCTTGCAACAACCTCCCCTGCAACAGTAACTCAAAGGTGCATCCAAATGAGAAGCTAGCATGAAGTCTAGCAAATTAAATAAATAAATATATATATTTAAAAAGGTAAGTGAAAAAAACCCTTGATGAATAATTTGCAAAATGCATAAGGTATGTGATATATACATTTGTAAACACAGAAAGAACAGACAGCCTGGTAGCATTAATAGGGTCACCATACAGTTAGGATGTAAAAAAGGCATTCTGAGAAGATGAATACATAGCAGAAATAGCCATTTCCCCCCAATGTGTTTACCAGGCCAGCTGGGGACTAAAAAACAGTGCTACATCCATCTGCAATGAGAAATCTTTTCTTTATGCATTAGTATTTATAGTTTGCAAAAATGACACTGCATCCACTCCTACATTAAAAACTAAAAAAAAAAAAAAAAAGGCAGAAACTCATTAATCTCCGTTAATTTTCCTCATGGCAAATATTCTAGGGTTAATATAATTACTGTAATTCTTTAAATGGTATGCAACTTGCAAACGCACTTTTTGTAGTGTGGCCATCATAGCAGGACATACTTTCTAATGGTCTCCAACTTCCAGCCTTGAGGAAGGCATTGAGATCATGTAGGCTGTGCCTCTGCAGCAAAGTAGAATCAACTCCTACTTACGACGTGAGGTCCTTCACACTGCCCTTTGTACTGAAACACTTTCATTCTTAATGTCCTGTCTGACTGTCCTTGAACTCAAAGACATTTCATTCTTTTTTTCTTTTTTTTTTTTTTAAAGTTGTTCCCAAATCTGTATGGCAAACTGATTATTCCCTTACTTTTGTAGCAGCTTTTAAAAATGTATCTTAAGACTGCTATCATGCCTTACCCCAGTCTTCTCTGAGGGTTATGGAAATACGAGTTTCTCCCTTGTGGAGCAATGTTGGAGGATACTCTGATGGAATGGAATGTCCTGCTTCTCTCTGGAGACTGCTCTTCATGAACAGAGCTATTACCACTGTCAGTCACTTGCCCTGATGCTGTAAGTCTTGCTCTCGTTTCCTGTGGAACGCACTAATGCACCTGGAGAGTGTGCTGGTTTGGTTTCAGCTGAGATGCACTCCCTACTTTTTTGAGACTTGGGTTTCTCTCTGTGTTATGCTCTGAACGTGGCATTAACAGTTCAGAGGACGAAGCACCAGGAAATGCAAGTAATTTACTTTGACAAATAGTGTATACAGGCGACAAGGGTAATTATCTGTGTTTTGAGAGACAGTGTTTTGGGGCTGGTAAATGTTTTAGTCCTTTCCTCAGCAAATATTTTGCTATTTTTAAATTTTCTCTTCTGTAATAGATATGTAGCCACTCACACATCTTAAGTTGGCACAATACATGGCAATTGTAAAAAGAAATTCACTGCATTCATTGCTGCCCGTTATTAAGAAGAACAGGTTGGGATGCTGACATCTACTGCGTGATGGGTCTTCAAATTCCTGGAGAGCAGATAAGCAGAGCCATTTAGTGGTAAGCAATCTGCAAAGCATGTATAGAAAAAGGTTCCCTGGAACTCGCAGAAGATGGATTTTATTCATAAATAATATATTAGTGCTTTATCTTCACTGCTTGGTTTTTGTTTTCCCAAGCAGAAAATAGATAGGGCCAGTATGTATATCACATACAAATATTAACCTTACGTAGCAAATGGTTTGGCAATGCTGAGATGCTTTAAGTGTTTGTAATGGGGTAGGGGCAAGAAACCGATAATAATAATTCTCATGTTGTCAATTAGAGGCCAGTCCACTGGATCCTATCAATTACTCCCACACACCGTTCCTGCCACAAATGCTATATGCGTTGCTCTCTTTACAGGATTTATATTACATCATGATCTCTGCTCCAGTTTGCAGTCTGGCAAGCCCTAATATATTACCATTAAAGAAACATTGCGCATTTAGTCTCTGTCCCACAGAGGAGCTGCTTTCCAGTTTTGAAAAAGCAATCTTTGTTGCTCATCACATGGTCTGTCTTTGTCTAGAAATGCACTCTCCCAAGGAGGTTGCCCTTGTGAAGAAAACAGTAAGCATTTTTCATCCACGACAGGCTGTTCTTAGCACATTCAAAGCTATTCTAAGACTTGCCAACTGTGGGGCTTCAAAATATCGGAGTCTTTTCTAGCTGCATTAACCTGGAAATGAGCTTATGAGAGGGGATATCCTGATCCTGCCTTCCTTCTTTCAGTACCATAGGAAATTGTAACTGTATGTTGCTTCCCCCCAGTCCTGGTAAACAAGAGGGGAAATTTTCTGGGTGAGCTGAAAAATAAATCAGGTGTTTTCTCAGGATGCAGATTTTGCATCTCCACATCTTTGTGGCTTTGGAAGAAGCAATGCATAGTCTACTACTATGTGAGAGTAAAATAACACAGATCACATTCATTAATGGTCCAGTAGGAACCCTTGCGATGGATTAGGATCTCACGGCAGTATAAGCAAGGGAATGGAAGGGAGGGGAGGGATTTAGGACACTTTCTTTCAATAACAATGGCTTATACAGTACACAAAATTACAATTTTAGTTGTTCCTGGAAATTTTGGCAACTTCTTTCATTCCAGTATGCCCTGAACACCAAGCATAATTATTAACCAAGTCTTAGAGCTTCCAAACATCCTTTTATCTAAAAAAGAAAAGAATAATCAAAATTGCATTTATTCCAGTCATCTTCTAAACATGGAAGATCACAGAAGCTCTAAACATAAACATGATTTATAGACATCGTTTCCAGCTCCTTAAGGCTTAATTTAACTGTTTTCCTGTGGTATGGCTTTTATATATAGGTATATATGTCCAATAATCTCAGGTTTGATATCAAATTCTTAAAACAACAACTGTGTTACAAGCATCAGAGAGCCTGGGCTTGTTTTTCCCTGTCACACCGTGATAGTAATTCTCAGGCAATATAACATCTCTTGCTACATTTGCTGAAACAATTTTGTTTGCTGTTGTAAGTTTCTTCAGTGAAGCAGATTATCTAGTAAATGTTTTCAGTTCATGTAGTAAGCTGTTATGATACTTCTTCCATTTCGAAAGCAAGTTTTTGTGATGCTTTTCAAAATATCATTTAAGAGAAGTATGCTGTGGTATTAAAACATAATAAAGGCAAAGCTTTGTTTCCTATTCAATCACTCCATGTTTCAGCATCAGCCATTCTTGGAAATCCCACGTCCTGCATGGGATTTCCAGTAAGTTTATTCATTTTTTCTGCCTTTTCCTAATATATTTAGTCTGTGTCATTTTGAAGGTCACTAAATTAATACAGTTTGGTTTAAATATGCCACTACCTAACTCATACTGTAAATATTTTTGCAAACTGTGTTTAAAATTTCACTTTCATGTCACCTTAAATAGTGTAACCACACATAGAGAAAGAAATCATTGGCTTGTTTTTGAGGTTTGGAAAGAAAAAAACTCAGCGCTACTGTTGCATGCAAAAGAACTGCCTGACTGCACTAATGTTGTATGTGAGTACTTACCTGTCACTTCCTTTCAGGAAGTCTGCCAGTAACAAAACTTGGGTCATTAGGTGAAAAAAAAATAATTCTCGTAATAATCAAGAGCTACAGATCTTCATTGTTAGAGTCAGTCCATATTTCTATTGCTTCCAAACTTGGCATTTGTGCTAGTGGGTGGCTGTTGCTGGTCTATAACAGATTTCACCTTATTTCTTTACCTTAAAACTAGATGTCTTTCTAAAGATTCTTCATCCTCCAGAAACTGTGGGCTTGATTCAGAAATCTAATGAAACTGTACCCCTGCGTCATGAAGGGAACAAAATCAGGTCGTATTTTTGAAGTCTGTCAGTATTTAAAAGACAAAACAAAAAATATTTTACTCCAGTTGTATAATGGCCAAGAGAGTTATCTCCTGGAGGATATATGACATGCAGTCTGTTAAAAAGAAAAGATTAATGCATCCAAGTTAACTGGCAAAGAAAGGTGAGACAGCAAACAGATCATCCTGGTCTATTCTACCAAGGTCCAGGTCGGTCACTACAGACAGATGGTGGATGTATGGATGGTGGAAAGACAGGTGAGGCTAGGAAAACAACATGTTCCTGTTCTCCCTCTTGAAATCAGGAGTTGTGGATATTAAGTCAGGAGAGAAACAAGACCTTGTTTTGAAGTATGTTTTAACAGTAGGTTCTGGAGAAGCAGAATGTTGGGCTTAGGGAAGAACATGTAAGAATTACTGCAGTGAACGTTAGAAGTCAGATAAGGAGACACTCAGCCCTTTCATACCCAAGAAACATCCATACTAGCATCTCTCCCCTTGCTCTTGTAACAGCTGCCTCCTACCAACCCTCCTGCCTGACAGAAAGGCTGTTTTGAAAGAATAACCCAGAATGGTTGGATAAAAAAATCAATGGGCGCTCTGGTCAAAAGGTTAATTGGACAGGAGAGCTTTCTGATTTGGGGACCAGATTTAAAACATCCCTTTTGAAAAATTGGGACAGTGGGATGAAGGAACTTTGCAGAAATTTGTCTAGCAGGACACAGCTAACTGATCCTTACAAAGCAGACATGAGGTCTAGCTGCTGGAACAGCAGAGAGAGACAGGAGCCTAAAAAAGACTTTTCATGAAGCCCAGCCAGAAAGTATTTCCATTCTAATTGGTACATGTGGAGGGCTTTAACTGTTAAGACCTCAAAAACAGGACAAGAGGGCCAACCAAGACCAGAGCTCAAACTCTAGCAATCTAACATTAAAACCCTAGAGCAGGTCAGCGGAGATTTTGAGAGCAATTTACCAAAGCCATTAGAATAGTTTATTTTTTTTCAGGCTAATCAGATTCACAACATTTTAAGAGCTCTGAGCTCTGTGGTAGAGCTATATAAAACAATAACGGAGAAAAATAAATTCGAAACTGTCCTTTGCTTCCAATAACCTGAGATGGAGAGAGCAGAAAATGAATTTCTTAGGCAGAGGATTTAAAAAGAGATGATTTTTCGATGTGCTACAAATATAAATGCAGGATGCAACGTCACAGCAATGCCCTGGATATTAAAAATGTAAGTAGGTTCAAACAGCCACCAAACAAACTAATGGAAGAAATATCCATGGTGGGATGAACCTCATAATTAAGTGCTGCATCGCAATGTTTATTTTGTAGTGGGGGACGGGCTGCAGTTGAACACAGTGCTAATTCTTGCACTTCCTGCATGCTAGATCTTGTGACTTCAATGTTTTTTACTGTAATTTTTTTTAATACAATGAATTTTTTTTTTTTTTTTTCAGAAACAGAGGAAAGGAGCTCCAACAGGTATAAAATCCTCTTCATAAATCAGTTGGGCTCCTTTTTCAAATTATTTGGACTTTCCATTCCTGGTGCTCCTCTTAGAGAGCAAATACATCATCTGAGTCTTCTCATAGGTAGAAGATTCAGAAAATTAGAATTTCATAATCTGAAATGTCAATGGCCTTTGTGTCCCCATTCATGTTTTCATTCCATTTATTGGGTCAAATGGCTACACCACTTTTAAAGACAACATGGTGGGGTTTTGTATGCTCTAAAGCACTCTTGTGACCACGAGGCACACAGCACCTCCTGTTCTGTGGCAGTATGGTTTGGGCCAGACTGGCCAATGAAAGCAAATGACAGATGCTCTCCCCCACCTCTCCAAGGAGAGGAGGGACAGAGAGAAAGAGACTTAGGAGTTTAGAAAAAAAAAACCCTAAACTACTTTAATGAAAACATGAATAAAATAATAAAATAATAAAAAAATAATAAAATATATACAATATCTACAAAACCAGTATCGAGCTCCCATGATGATGATGATGATCACATCACCAACAGGCACAGGGAAAGTCCCGGACTGGAGTCAGTGATGGACGGGAGCTGGATTCCAGATCTGGATTCAGGAATGCACGGATTGGGATCAAAAGCAGACAAATAGAGTCCTCCTTGGATGCTGGCCATTGAAGAAAGAAGCTGACCCTTTGATCCCTCAGCTATTATACTGAGCATGAGGCAGATGGGACGGAATAGTCTGTTGGTCAGTTTTGAGTCATCTGTCCTGTCCACTCCTCCCCGCAGGTGGGACCCCTCTACACTTTTCCGCTTCTGACCCTCCAACGGGGCAAATAACAAAGTGAGCTGCCCTTGGGTGCCATAAGCAATAAGTATAAGCAAAAGCCTCTCTGCATACCATGCCTTGGCATAAATTACAACTAATCAGGTCTTACCACTCTCAGAGCAAACATTTTCTGCACAATATGCTGTAAATTTCCAAAAGTTCAGCTAGTTAGAAGAGGCTTAGCTGCAAAGTAAAAAGAAAATGGGTTCTGTTTTACCTCAAACCAGGACATGTGATGTCTAGTTTTCCAAGGCTTCCCCACAGGGGAAGTAGCACTGTGCAGCACCAGCTTGATGCAAAGTCCTGACGATAATCCTCCTCACTTGAGAAGCCAGCATTTGCAGCCACACAAAATACTGTCCTCTTCCCATATGGACAAGATCGGTACTTTTAAAGAATACCTCAGCCTTGGAGGTGTAGGCAACAGTTCCTTCCACAATTTTGTAACTTGTGGTTTTTGTGTGTTTTTGGCATATTAAATTAATTCTAAAGTCACGTGGGAATGACAGAACCTTGATCCTCTTCCTTAGGACTCACTGTTCCCAGTGTTAGTGGTAATGGTGCTGGTCAGGAAGAGAAGGCGCTCTCTTTCTCTGGCCAAGAGATGAACACTCTCCCTGATGTCTTCGTTTTCCAACAGGCAGAGTCCAAAATAACCAGCTGTGTCTCACTGAAGGAGGCTGCCCCTTCAGGGCAGGACGTTTTTAACAGGTAGTAAGAGGGTAGATATACCTCTAAGTGCTTGATTATACAACTCAGTGTTTGATTTGGTCTGTCACCAGATTAGTGGGGTGCAGAGGCAGCAGGGATAGTAGTCATCGTCTATAGGAAGATGCACCTAGCCAGTGCTGTGCTGTAGATGGGGGGAAACCAGTGTAAACTCCTGCTATTTAGCAGTCATTTTATCAGCCTTGAGAAAGAGTTGAAATAACTGACCAGATTTGAAAGTTAGGTTAAATGAAATACAGAAATGAAAGTTGCAGTTACAGCAGCATTGCAAGGTACAGGATTTTACCACTGAAACGCTGTGGTATTGCACTTTTGATCACCATCTGGCTGGTTTATTTACAGTCTGCTCAGCACCTTTTGCTTTGAAACAAAAAGGCTCAAAACAGGAGCTAACAGGAATTTCTGTTTCTGAATTTCTCATGACTATATCTTAAATTCTCACTGCTGAAAACTGCCAGGCTAAGGGAGGAGTCCTTCAGAGATATGGCCAGGAAAAATAACATTCAGGGTCTGGGGTGTACTCACTCTTTCACTAATGAAGCATGTGGCCAAGTGTGCGAGGGACAGGGCAAAAGGGAATCTGCAATCCACCTAAACATTCCCAGCCCCTATTCTTCCAGTTGACCAGAAACTTGCTACTGCAACTAGAAAAGAATAACAACTAGAGACAGGTAAGGCAACAACACCACACGTTGCCTGTCACTCAGTAAAAAATCATATTGCCCTTGCTAGTAACAAGTCTTACACTAACTTTGCAAGGCATCAGGACTCAAGTTTTTAGGCTTATCAACTCGTTGTGAGAACTTGCTGTGTGAATCAGATTTTGGTACCTGGTGTGTCTTGTTGATGGGGAGTTTAAGTGTCAGCACTAAAGACCTTTGAAATGGAGACCTGGATTGGAAAACAGAGGTTGCAGGGCTACAAAGAATTCATTGATGCGCAGTTACTGGTTACTGAAGAAGAAGCAGAACCTTAAGAGGTGAAGAAAAACTGACCTAAGCATAGGGAAAAGTAGCAGTAGCTAAGCAAGAAGAGTATCAGCAACAAACCCCAGCTAATTAACAGGGTAAGTACCTGACTTGGTCTGAGAAAGTAATTCTTCCCAGCATTGTGCAATATGTAGTCTGGGGGACAGAACTAAAGGCTAAGAATTGTCTAGACACCAAACCTCTTGTAAAAGGACAAGGCCTTGAGTTGGTGAAGGGGAGGAGGGGGTTATCTCTGTAGGGTCATTAAAGCTGTAAATGGCCTGCCTGCTTCTCCTTCCCTCCTTTCTGCCTGCCTGCTTCTCTCCCTCAAATACCTGATTCAAGGATTCTGGTTGCCTCTGCTTGATCTAAGGACCTTGATCGGCCTCTTGATCAGCCAGTCAATTGCCCAGGGTGATGCTCAGGAGTATGAGTATATGTGAGTCTGAGACCATGTTACCCCTATACACTGTATGCATTTTTCGCTTTAATCTCTCAATAAAGCTGTATTGCACATGAAGTCAATTTTACGTAATACCAAGAGATGAAGTAATGCATGAAGTCTATATGCTGATTTTGCCCAAATGTGATAATGCCCCAGAGAAGTGCTGTGGTACAAACTTTTTGCTGTTTCTCCAGGCACAGTAGTTCCCGCTTACATGAGCGACGCTAAATGACACAAAGGAAAGTGGCATATATCACACCAAAGCAAAGAACCAGTGGTTGTCCTGCTGTCCAAATCCACAACTTCCCTGAATACCCTATCCTATACTCACCACTGCTGCTGGGCTCTTCTGCTGGCGTGCACTGTTCCACATCCTCAGGCTCCAGAAAGTCTCTCTTCAAAACCTCAATGACTTGTATTCTTCGCAGACTCACAAGGTCTACGTCTTTTAACTTCTTTTCCAGCTGATTTACCATTTCTTTGCTGGACTGGCTAGTTAAAATCGTGACCTGAAAAACAAATCAGAGTGTGCAAGAGCTGCCTCTGACCCTAATCCTCTCTTGATAAGCGATGATGCCTGGTCTGTTTGAATAGCCCAGGTCCCACTATGGAGACAGGAGAGAAATCTCGCTAAAATACTTTGTCTGTTCAAAAGCAGATTTAAAAGCATTTTTTTTTGAACTTTGGCTTAAATATGAAATGGATTGAGAGGTTCACTGTAGGAACACCAACAGGTTTTGTGCCACTGCTGGAAGAAGATGGGACAATCAACTGTCTTATATTCTATGCTTTGCACTTACGGTCTGTGAGTCTGTCTGTGTATGGGAGAGACTATGCCTGAGACTGAGGAACAGCACCACTTCCCATTATTGCATAAATTATAGTTCAAGTAGATTAAATTGGGCCTTCCCACTTGAAGGCTGGATGGGAATTATTTATATTTTTTTAAAAAAAGAAGGATTAGTCTATCCTAAAGATCTTTCTTAAGAAAGCAACAGTAGGTGTGACTCCCACCTCCCAGTTCTGAGGTAATACTAAGTAAGTGACTACAAAGACTTTCTTCATCATTGACAATCAGCAACAGTTTCTAGAAACGTCAGGCATGTTTGACACCAGTTTCCACTCTGAAAGATTAGTTAGGTGAGAAAGCTTCTAGTTCTGACTGTCGTGGTCCTCAAACCAGGACACTGACCTTGCCCGATATTTACTCATGGTGAAGTACTGTGTCTTCTCAGCACATCTGCTCATTGCTCTAAAGGACTACTTAATAATTCTAAAGGATAAGATGTATTTTAGGTGACACTGCTAACAACTGTCCTGTAGGGAGCATTTTGGGAAACTCAACAGTACACCTTCAGAAATGAGTTCTACCAGAAAGATATTAAGCAATGCCAACAGAATTCACAGTTCAATGGTTAGGGATTTTTATTTTTTTTTTTCTGGGGGTGTGCGTGCAGGGGGCAGGGAGTATACCTTCTCCATCCAGATCTATCCTATCATCTATCTATGATATACTGGGAATGAAGAGGTAATTATGATCCCCTTTATGAACTGGCAAAAGTAGATAACAGGAACTGTTCTTGAGTTTAAGGGAGCAAAACCATCTGAAGATACTATTATTTTTTTAATAGAGCTATAGATAGAGCATTTCCTACATTAGTACACCCAGCTTTTTCACAAAAATCTTTAGTTATGTGATGGAAGCTCATCTGCACACCCACAAAGGAGAATAGAGACCGTGACAGGCAGAAGAGCCCAAATAATGCCCTGTCCTGGCTACTGCCCTCAGCCCATTTCCCCAAGCCTAAAGGAGCGCAGGGGCACGGTGTCAGACCAGGAAACCAAATTAGGGGCCGGGAGGAAGGGACACCCCCCAGGGGCCGCTGCCGGGGCTGTCCCCGGAGAGCCCTTGTCCAGGTGTGAAACCCGTGAAGATGAGTCAAACCCTGAGAACCTTTCTGACTGAGAGGGGGGTTGGGGCCTAGGGGTGCGGGACACATTATGGGGTGCAGGGGAAGAGCAGTTTGGGATTGCACAAGGCTTATTATGGGATGTTTAGGGGAGGAATCAAAAGTGGGCAAAGGGATGGAGCTCGGTGATATGGGAAGCAACAAGTGTGGGAAACTAGAGGGGTAGGGGGCTAAAAAGAGACGGTCCTGTGTAACAGCTGGCTGGTCAGTACGCTTGCCTGGCCAGGCCCTGCCCTGATCACCACAGTTTTTCCCATCTTCTTCTTAAACTCCTTCCCAGCTCTGTCCTGGGTGAGGGCTCTCTTCTGTGTGCACGTGTGTGTGGGGGTCTCAGTGCAGCAGCTGGAGCCACACCACAGGTTGGAGGTCCCTGTGTCTGTGGTGCAGCAGCTGGAGCAAGTGCGAGTGAGCATGCCATCGTTAGCAAAGATCAAAATGGACCAGGCGGTGAACAGGCAAAATGGCCATGGAGCAAGGGGGTCTCTAAGGGTGAGGCCATGGGAGGAGCTGGTTCTGTGCATGCATACACATGTGTGCATACCAGCAATTAGAGTGGGGCTGCAGCCTTGGGGACTCATATGCCCAGACACCAGCAACTGGGGAGGCTGGGATCCAGGAGCAGTTACTGGGCAGACTCAGGGCCTGAGCCCAGCTGCTGGAGGGATCCACGTTGTGCGTATGGAGATAGATATGTGCATGCGTGTGTATATGTATAGATGTACATACATACATATATTCCTGTCAGTGGATCTCCATCCTGCTCAGGCAGAGAGGGAAGCAAGCTGAGGCCATTAGCGCAGTCTGTGTTTGTGTGAGTGCTCTGATTGTCTGTATGTGATCTGTGGCACCAACCATGTGTGTACACACGTATTTTATACATGTGCTCTGTGAGCATCCGCCTACTGGGAATACCTGCTTATCCTCACAACTGGTTCACCTGGGGCCATGGAGCTGTGGCAGCCTTACTGATGTCAGATCAAGCCTGATTTCCCTAACAAATTATACCTCTCCAGCTGAATTTATCCCTAACTTTTGCCTCTGAGTTACTGGGAATGAAGAAATTATGATGGGCTCATTTTAGGAACTAATGAAAATGGCAAACAGGGACTGTTCTTGAGCTGGAGGTAGCTGAACTGTGTAAAAGCTATCATTATCTTTTGCAGGTAGCTGAACTGTGTAAAAGCTATCATCTTTTGCGGAGCTATAGACAGAGCATTTGCTATGCTGATACACGTCTATTTCATCAAAACCATGGCTGCATTACATCTGTAGCCTATCGCCTCCAATTTACCCTTTTCACAACCTGAGTCACACTAGCACATGCTGGTCAGAGACCAAGAGAAATATTTTACCACATACAAAAACTGAGGTAGCTACTGTCACTTCCCTTTGTATTACCACAGTTTCTATATATAATCCCTTAATGTCATTATACTTCCTAATCTGACAAAAAATGGGCTACTGGTGACTTGAAAAATGCTTTTCATCCTATAGCAGATTGGCCACATTTCCTGTCCTTGTAGCTGCTGCTGAGACTTAGCTTCACTAATGCTGGTGGTTTTTCCCCTCTGAAGTCAGGGTGTCAAAAAGAGTTATGTGTTTTCAATATTTTTGACAAATACAAATTAAATGATTGCAAGTTGTAAGAAAGTCTGCCTCCTATGCTTACTAGTCAGCTAGGAATGTTCTTGACTCTTTGCGGTTTAACCGTTAGGAAAATGCACATTTCCCTAAAGACTACATCTGATTTGTATAAGCAAATTACCGGTAGTGCTCTTGTACTATAAAAACTGCCCATCATGGTCCCACACTAAAGAAATTGTATTTCTAATCCAACCATAATGCCTCCTTAAGCGCTTGCGTTTCTGCTAGCTCACATGGAATCATACTTTACCAACAGCTTCCAACATCCTATGTTTCCTTCATCCTACTCCTGTTCATAGTCCTTTCCTGTCCTTCCTGTCTCTTCCCACTAAACAAGAGCGTGCTCCACTGCTGCTGCCCTCCAGGCTTTGCCCGCAGCGCGGCGGCAGTGGGATGGTGCTGCAGGGCAGCACAGCGGCTGTGCGTTCCTGCCACGCAGCTCCGGAGTATTGTCTTCCACATGGATGGAAGCATGTGGGAAGCCTTTTGGTTTAAATTGTGTTGCTTTAGAAGCGTAACAGCAAAAGCAAAAAAGAGCGGCTCTTTCAGAAGAGACGGCTTCACAAACAGAAAGGGTAACTTTCTCTGCTGAGATGAGCCCGTGCATCTCGGTGACAGGTCTGGCCGCTCGCTGGCTGCCTTTTCTCCTCCTGCCCAGCTGCCTGCACACTCCCTCTGCTGAGCGCCTTCCCCCTACTGCAGGATTTCACCGATAGTGACCTTACTTGTTCCAAATTATTTACTCCTCAGTTGTTTACCGACTGTAATTACATGCTTGTAATTTGTTGTTCCAGCCAGCGCCACAGGTTACTGTATCTCAGTAACAGGGCTACTACAAACAGATGTCAGTTTGGCAATCAGGGATAGATGCACCAAAGTGACATTACATTTTGATTAAAAACAAACACTCCAGATAAGACTTACGTTAAAACTTAACTGCAAAATACTGGAATCAGCTGATTTATGAGGGCACTTAAATACAGCATGAAGCTCTTGAAATAGAAGGAAGAAACTGTATTGGTAGAACCTGACATTCATTCCATTGAAAACCAGATGGAACTAGAGAGTTCAAATAATTCGATAAAGTAGGCCTCATTTTCTCTTGTCCACGCCGTATAGTTCAATGCAAAAATACTTCTCCTAATATATTTTCTAATCATAGAATAGTTTGGGTTGGAAGGGACCTTTAAAGGTCATCCAATCCAACCCTCTGCAATGAGCAGGGACATCTTCAACCGGGGGTTGCTCAGAGCCCCGTCCAACCTGACCTTCAATGTTGCCAGGGATGGGGCATCTACCGCCTCTCTGAGCAACCTGGGCCAGTGTTTCAATAATGCTTTAAAATATCACAGAAACAGAATTGATACTTCGCAGTGGACCAAATAGAAAATACGTGTGGGAGATGTTAAGTACTTGGTCACCACACATGGTCTGCCTGATACAGTTGAATTTAACAGGGTAAATGCCTGCTTTAACAGGTTTAAGTTATCCAGGTTTCTCTTCCAAGAAGGTGTCTTTTTTTTTTTTCCTTCTTCAATACACACTGTATCTGACCAAAAACATTCAAATGCCTTCTGAGAAACAGAAATAAAAATCCAACTTACTCTGCATAAAAAAATGCTCGTGATGAAAACAAAATTGCAGTCACTGAAGTATCTGAAGCAGAAAGCTGCCTTTTTTAGAAACATGGCCTTTTGAATGGGTGAAATACCCTTCTGCCTTTCTGTGATCACTGACTTTTATTTTTCAACAAAGGTCCGAGAACTGTAGGTGCTCTTCTGCTCACTTCTTGGCTCCTTAGTAATCTGATGGTGCTTATTCACCGTTCTGTGAAAGACCAAGGCCATCCCTTAGATCCCATTTAGGTCTGTGAAACACCTTTTGTCAGGATTTGCAGAAGACTGAATTTAATCCACAGGTTACATTTATGCGGAGTGCAGAACGGGAAGGGTTGCTAGCTTGGAAAGAAGTCCTTTGTCCTTGAAATTCTCCACAGAACTGAACTTTGAGCTAAAGTTTCCTCAAGATAGGCAAGTATGACGTGTTGCCTTTTGGAACCCCTCCAGTACCTACACTAAAATCAAATGTACTATAATACTCTAGATCTCTACGTTCTTTGAATTATCTCTTTAGTTTTATTTTGGGTATTTTTCAAATGAAATAGGACCACTATAAATTTTATCCACCAATGAAGCCACAAAAAAAAAAAGCTATTCTTAATTTAATTTTTCTTTCCCTTTGCTTTGTAAGGCATGCCTTCTCGGAAGAAATATTTGATGCCTGTCACAAACAGCTCTAAGGGAAGTAAGGCAGCGGAAACAGTGAATGAAATGGAGTTAGCACGGAGCAACTCAGAGGGAAGACTAGAGCTGGCAAGTGTGACTGATGTCTGTGGTATTTGCTGTTGTATGGAAACCGGGAAAATTCAAAGTATCCAGTGTGGCCATTATTTTGAATGTGGTGAAGGGACGAGGATTATACGTTCAGTTGTCAGTGAGAGGCTTCTAGTTGACAAGGGTGGCAAGAAGCTCCTCCCACCTGTTCAGCTGACCCTCTGCAAGGGTTCTCTAATACTGTACGAGATATTTTCTGGCAGAGATTCGCTATGCAGCAATTTAAGTACAGTTTGCTGCATGAAGTTTCTGAAGAACGGACACATGTCCTGAGTTATAGAGTTCTTGTTCTCCCTAAGAAATCTTTCAAGTTAGAATCCATGAATATTTGAGGGTGGGGTTTTGTTTGCTTGCTGTCTGAGTGTTGTGGTTTGGTGAGAGTGTTTGCTGTGAGTGTTTTTGTTGTTGTTGGGTTTTTTTTGTTTTTGTTTTTTTTTAATACAAAAATCTACTACATCATTCTCTGGTTTGGGTATACTGGAATTAATCATACAAATGTTGGTCAGACTGTTGTTCTAGCTAGGCATGACAGCCAGCTTTACATCTTCTCAGACTGCCCTGAGAATTTTTATAAAGACTCTCCTCTAAGATCTTCTTTAGATGGGTATACATACCCCAGACCTTTGCAGGGCCAAGGACTGTATAACAAACCATATGAACTTGCTATTTTCTGGTACCAGGAAGAAAAACATTTGGTTACCTATCAAAGTTATCAACAAAGTGGTATGTGGTCAGATTAACTCCAGAAGGGTGGAGGACATGCAATTTTCCAGGCTGATCCAAGTACACAAGAGCAAATACAAGTTGGTAAATTGTCAGGAGAGGAGGAATTAGTGTTGCATCTATGTACACCGTTCCTATGAGGAAATGAAAGTAGGTTGTAAAAATGGTGGTCAACACTTTCAGCTGTGTATAATACCAAAGTCTACCACTGCAGCAGTGTCTTACATGCCCTTGTAATGAAAAGCATAATATATTTGCATAGTCTAGAGGAACAAGGATAGCTTAACGGAGTATAAACTCCTTATATTCATGGATAACAATTTTGAATGTAGCTATCTCTTTCCTTCAACTATACTAGAAGATGTCCTGGATTTTGTTGTGTGTCAAAAACAGTCTTGTCTTAAAAGTGTACTCTGTTTCTTCCAGCCCCCAGCTTTGAAGTTAAAATACAAATCACACCTGAAATGGTCAGGGAAAATATGTCAAGGTCCTTAGAAAACACAGAGCAGCAGTAAATCAGGAGAAAGGCTTCCTGGATAGATACTAGAAGTGAGTCTTAATTACAGCTGGGAGACTGCCTGATCACAGCATGGCTCTGGAAGAGTTTAAGTATCTAAATAAAGTAGAAGGACTGGGGAAATTTCACTCACAGGAGTCTGGATTCCTTTTTAGGACTGACAAAGCTCCAAAACCAGGTGGACCCTGAGCCTCTGAAGTCTGGAATGAAAGATAGTTTGCAGGTGATGTTTCCTCATGTCCAACAGAAAATAATACTTCTATGAGAGTCCTTCCCCTCTTGATAACTGCCTGTCCTTTCACATGAGTTGATACTTCTTTAAAAAAAAACACCTTCTTCCTGCAAACTTTGCTCTGCTTTCTACACTTGCATGTATGTTGTCATGTGTTGTTCGCAGCCTCCCTCCCACTTATGCAAGTATACACACCCAGCTGAGAATACAGCCACCAGCGTGTGCCAAAATCTGTCCCTGGACTGCTGCACGTACAGTTTTCCCTAGATATGTCCCCCTTTCTACAGGAATCTGCCCAGAAGGATTTGAGGACTTGATATAGTCATGCAGGATTTCTGGCCGTTGGATCTCCGAGACAGCTAGACTGCTGAATACCTACAATTTTCTGGTGTGTTCACAGTACATGGCATCATGTCAGAGCCACTGCTCAAGCTGAAGTGACAGCACACCTATGCAATTGGCTCAGGAAACACTGGACAGACCTGCTGTGTGCAAGTTAATTCCCACTGAGAATCCTGCAAACAAGATATCAGTATATATGTGCACTGAAATCCCAGACAAACGTCAGGCTGTCCTACCATACCAACTCATCTCACTAACCTGTCCAACAAGACTTACTTAGCTTAAGTCCCTGTTCTTCCTACTTTCTCCAGGAAAATCATCAATAGCCACTCCCAAAAATTCACAAAGCCTGAGCAGAAAGGAAATGTTTGCATGTGGTGTTTCAAAACACTTTACTAGTGCATCAGGATGGAAATAAAGTACTAGCACATCAGGATTACAGCAGGCACAGTACTCCTCGTATTCTCCGAGGCACGGGCGAAGCAATACGATTACCCTGTTCTTTCTGTGTCTGCCATAAAGGTGTCAGAGATTACTGTTTTTCCCTTCACCCAGCGTAGGGATGCATGCCAAGAACAGACATGATGCTTCCTGAGTTTCCGGGACTGTTTGTTGTACAGAGCTTACAATGGTCTTTTTTTTGGTTATTTCATGCAGCCATTGCCAATGATGCATTATAAGGGGCCGCTGTTACAATTTGCAGAGTAGGAGCCCTGTGGAACTACCAAGCTGCCACTGAGAAAAGAAAAATGCTAATTATAAACAAGCACTCTTGTTATTTTAAGTACTGACCGTATTTTCTTTTTCCTCTGAAAACTTACTTGAAGAGGACCATGCCAAGACAATGAGCATTCTGTAGGCTTCTCCTGTCCTTTGCAACTCTACCAACTACTCTCAGGATGAAATGCATTTCTTTTGTCTGTATGAGTTCACTTTCAATGAATCGTGGACATGCTTTCAGGCACAATGAGGACCTTTAGGGTACTAACATCCTATTGTATCAGTGGAAGTTTCAGACACTATAACCCCAGAATGTAACTGTTGTCTGAAAGGGAAATCATGTCCATAAGTACTGTGAATGTCTGCCTTTAACACAGTTCTTCTGTGAAAGTAATAAAAATTAAAAAAAGCTGAAAAAACATCCAATCTTAAATGCCTGGATATTAAATTCATTTTTCTATACTGTAAAGTAAGTCAGTCTCCATAAGCAACTCAAACCTGAATCTGTCTTGTTTCCATGAGTATTCAGAGATTGCCACAAGGGTTTTTTTTGGAGGGCTTATTTTCTTAATTACTCTCTCCCTCCCATGGCCTTAATGTGCTAACAAGTGGCAAATCTGGTGGATGGCTCCCACTACTTTCCCAACATTTTCTTACCTCAACGGAACTATTTGTTGAGCCTCCTGCTGCTGTGTGTCTGCTGTATTGTTTGAATTGTTGCAATCCATCCTGCACAGCTTGTACCACTCCATTTCCCCCCTGTGGGAAACAGCCTTCTCTTGGTAGCGAACGGAGCTCCGAAACGCAGGCTTGTATTCGTGCAAAGTTTTCTCTCACTTGCTGCAAAACAGTATTTAATGACGTTGAAAGACTGGAAATGGCAACCTGATGGTATGACATATTCTTCCATAATGTGGAAGGGGGCTTTTGAATTCACAGCACTGAGATACGACCGGGGGCAGCAGACAAGTGATAAAGCAGTGAACAGTGATATGAATCAAAGCCAGCTGACTCTAAAGCTAGTAACGACATACATGATCACTCCTCTTGTTTTCAGCTGTCTACCTGTTGCCTGCTGCTAGCCAAAATGTAGTAGTTTGGCATGCCCCTCTCCTCTGGCCCTGCACAACACAGAGGCAGAACTTGAGACATAAATAGGAGGACTGAGGCAGTGTGATATCCCCAGCCATAGTCACCCCTGCCATATCTGTACTCCTTTACTCGTCGGGCTGTGAACCTCTGGAACCTGCGCCCAGGAAGGTTTGTAGTCAGACTGCAGCAACAGGTTCAAAAATGGGTTCCACAAACTCATGGGTAACAGGTCCAGAAACAGGTACCAAGAGGAATATCCTCAAATGTACCCTTTATCATTCTTAACACAACAGCTGTGGAACTAGGGGAGCGTGAGGAGAATGAACTGCAGAAGGTGATTGGGCTGGGGCACTCCCCCAAAATAGCCTTTCCTTTTGAGACTGGGCTGCTGGACTGTTGGTCTGACTTAAGAGGGCATTTCTTATGTTTTTATACTGCTCTTTTAGGACATTCACCACAGCAATGATTATCAAAAAAGCAAACACTGATGGAAGGTCTGTGGACCCTTCTGCTTCAAAGGTGAGCTACCAGAGCAAAAAAAAAATTATTCTATAGCTGTCATTTGTAAAAATGTTTTATTCCATCAGGCAACAGCTACCACTGTACAATGGCTGCCCCTAGGACAGCTGGTCTGACTCATTAATGCAAAATGTACATCATAAATGCACAGATTATTAATTATGGTGCTTTGTTTCAGTCTCATGGATTGGAGGATATTGGGTAATATTCTCACTGCCTGC